ACAGAACTCTACCAACCTCTGTCTCCTGAGTGCTGGAATTAAAAACATGGACCACCATGCTAGGCAATGAGAGAAGCATTCTTTATTGATGAGAATGGTAGGCTTCCCACAAACCAGGGAACAACCTATACCTTTGAAAATATGGGCCTCACTAAAAGGACTTAGTGGGTTATTAAAAATCATAAAGTTAGGCGGGAGGGATATTGAGTAATATGGGGGAATTGAAGGAGGAAATTTGGGTAAATATATCTCATTATATGTGTATCAGTCAGGGTTCTCTAAGGAACAAAACTTGTAGAATGAACACACACACACACACATTGGACTTATTAGAATGGCTTACAGGCTGCGGTTCAGCTAGTCCAACAATGCCTGTCTACAGAAGGTTCCGCCCATGGGGCTGATGTCTCAGCTGGTCTTCAGTATACAGCAGAACCCTGAAGAAGTGGGCTCTACTGCCAGTGAAGGAACGGACTTGCCAGCAAGAGTGAGAGCAAGCAGGCAAAGAGAGCAAACTTCCTTCTTCCATGTCCTCTATATAGGCTGCCAGCAGAAGGCATTGCCCAGTTTAAAGTTTGCCGGGTTCTCTGGCAGAAAGGGCGGGGGCAGAGCCAGACCTGCAGGACCTTCCCTGGTGCTGAGCTGAGCGGAACGGTGAGTGACACACACTGAGTCAGGAGTCTGGCAAAGCAAGATCTCATTTAATTCTATTAGGCAAGAGTTTATATGGGTTGTGATGGGGGTAGGAAGCCTGGGATGGGCCGAGGGGGAGCAAGGAACAATGGCCAATGATATTCTGCCATGTTAGTGGTGGCTGGGCAGAGGCGGGCCTAGGCCGGGTTGTACTGAGTCACTTCCTGTGTGGAAGTCATAGCCAGAGATGGGTCTCCCCACTGGCTCATGCCCACGCCTCATGAGGCCCAACAAAAGGTGAATCTTCCCTCCTCAAAATATCTGCATTAAAGTTTTATCTTCCCACTTCAAAACATCTGGTTTAAAGTGGGTCTCCCCATTTCAAGTGATTTAAGTGCGGAGAAATCCCTCCAGGTGTACCCAGCCACGTGGGTTTAGCTCATTCCAGATAAGTGAAGCTGCTAACGAAGGATAGCTACAATATGTGAGCATGACTTTCTCAAAAATAAATACTTTTGAAAGGAAAATAGTGTTACTGTTATGGAGGCTGTGGATATATGGCTGAGTGGGTAAGAACACACGCTGTGCAAACATGAGGACCTGAGTTCAAATCCCCAGTTCCCATGAAAAAAACCAGGCATGTTTGCATGTGCCTGTAACCCCAGCCCTGGTAGGCAGAGACAGGAGGACTGCCAGAGCTTGCAGATTCAGTGAGAGACCCTATCTCAAATGGAGTCATAGAGCAAGACACCCAACCTCCTCCTCCAACCTGTACACAACCGCTCTGGCCCCCACACAAGTGCGTATGCATGCATGTATGTGGGCCTGCACGCAAGTGTGCATACACCACACACACACACACACACAGGGTGTGGACTAAAGGGCTTAAAAGACATCTCACCAAAGAATACATACTAATAGCAAACAACCACATTTACTCCCGATTGCCCTTAGGGAAACACAAATGAAAGCAGCCCGCATACTGTGTACTACTACACACATATGAGAATGGCCAGAGTCCAGAATACCGGCAAACACCGAAAGCTGATAAGGATGTAAAACTGTGGGGGCTCCATTTAGTCCTGAGAGGAACCCTACATAGCAGAGCCGGACTGGAGCACAAGTTAGCAGTTTCTCTTCCCATACACACAACCGAGGAATCACAAATGCATTCTGCTCACTTTAAGGAGTATGAACTGTGCTTACACAGGAAGCCTGCGGGAAAGGGTGGAAAGACACTCAGTGGCAGAGCACCTGCCTGGTTTTGGTCTCCAGCCCCTCCCAGGCACCCTCCACCACACAGACACACGAACATGCCTTCACACGCATACTCACGCTTATACACAGACAGAAATCTGCAGAGAGCTGGGGCAGCATTATTGCTTGTCCAAATCATGCAGCAACCAGGATGCCCTTGACTGTGTGACCTGACAGATAAGCTGTGACAACAGAATAGTCCGAGTTGAAAAGAAATGAGCACCAGGGATCTGACACCCTCTTCTGACCTCCAAGGGTCCCGGCATGTACGTGGTACACAGACAGAAACAAAACTCCCAGGCACATAAAATAAGTAAATAATATTTAAATTATATTTTTTAAAAATGAGCTATGAAATCGTGAAAAGACTCAGAGGAAGCAACTGTATAACTTTGCTGGCTAGTTTTATGTCAATGTGACATAACCTGCAGTCACCTGAGAGGAAGGAACTAAGCTGAGAAAACGCCTCTAGAAGAGAGGACTGTAGGCAAGTCTGTGGGGAGTTCTATATGAAAGCAGGCTGAGCAAGCCGTGCTGAGCAAGCCAGTGGGCAGCTCTCCTCCATGGCCTCTGCATCAGCTCCTGCCTCTAGGTTCCTGCCCTGTTTGAGCTCCTGTCTTGACTTCCTTCAGTGGTGGACTATGATGTGGAAGTGTAAATCAACCAAATCCTTCCCTTCCCAGATTGCTTTTGGTTGTGATATTTCATCAGCATATAACCCTAAGCAATAGGGTTACAGCAATAGTAACCCTAAGACCACTATTAAGTGACGGAAGCCAACCTGATGAGTCTACTCAAAACCCAAACTAACCAAACCAAAACAAACAAAAACTCAGACCTGTAATCCCAGCATTTGGTAAGGGGAGGCAGGAGCATCTTCATAAGTTTGAAATCAGTGTTGACTCCCTAACAAGTACCACGTTAGCCAACGACTACATCCAGTAACATCCTGTCTCAAAAAACAGAGCTCGTGGCATGCCTTAGTGGAGCATGTAAAGTTCTCACTGGGCAGGCGAGGACCTGGTTCAATCGTTGGAACCTACATAAAGATAGACAAAACAAACATCTCACGAAATCGTCCCTGGACCTCCACATTCGTGCTGCGATGCATGCATGCTCACAGTCACACATCACACATAGAGGAATACATTTTAAAAATTTTTAAAACTTGCTATGAGGCTAAAGTTGCTTTAAAAAACAGTTTAATTAAAAAAAATCCAGGTGAGAAATGATGGTTGCTTGAGCAAGCATCGTAACTGTGAAGTCAGGGAGCTGCTTTCATCCTGGATATATTTTCAAAGAAGAGTCCAGAGGCGTTGCCAGTTTATTGGATGTTGGCTGTGAGGAAAATGGAAGCTTCAGGGAGCTACATAAGGCAATGGGAAGAAAGGTCTTAGGGTTGGGGGTCAGTGCTAAAGCACATGCTTAGTTAGCTTGCACAGCAACACACGGGGCTCAGCACTTAGTAGATATTCATTCAGGTTGGTGTTGGAGCTATGACTCATGAGTTAGGAGTGGGGCGACTTCTGCAGAGGACCCAGGCTTGTTCCCTCCACGAACATGGTGGCTCCAGTCTCTGGTAACTCCAGCCACAGCGGTTCTGTCTCCCTCTTATGGCCTCTGAGGACACCAGGCATGCATGTGGTACATTCATGCATGCATACATAGATATTGTGTACTCGTGCAATAAAAATAAGTAAATCTTTTTTTATTTTACTTGTTTGTTTGTTTTTTGAAACAGGGTCTCTCTATCTAACAGCCCTGTTTTGGAATTCATTCTGTAAACCAGGCTGGCCTCTAACTGTCTGCCTCTGCCTCCCAACTTCTGGGATTAAAGGTATGTGCCACCTCCATCCAGCAATAAATCAATTTTTAAAAAGAATATTTATTAAAAAGGTTCTGTGTGGTTTGTTAGTGGGTCCTCAGGGGTTGACCTCCAACTCTAGATCCTCTGCCTCAGCCTCCTGAGCACTGGGGCCACAAATGTGTATTGTGCCATCATATCCAATCCATAAGGATACATGCATGTCACATACAATTTCTGAAGAGAAGATAGCTTCCTCGGGGTCATACGCTAATAAGAGTGAGGGCTGTGTGCAGGAGCCAGGGAACCAGGAGAGCCTGGCTAAGTTATGCCAGCTCCTAAAAGCCCTCTTCCATATGCTGTACTTTCTTGTCAGCATCTCAGTTCTGGAAAGAGCAGATAAACTGTTTGGTACAGAGAAAAACAAGAATGACTCATCCTAGGACGAGCACAAAGTAATAAAGCCATAGGTAACGCTCTATAATCTCAGACGAGCTGGGCCAGCTTCCTCCCTGCAGCACTGGTTACCCGAGGCTCGGTGGGCGCTGCCAGTCTCTGGCTGAAGTGTTATCAGTTAGTTAATATTTGTTTTATGCATACATACGTGCATGTGTCTGTGTGAATTTATGTACAGCATATGCATGCAGGTGCCTGAGGGGCCAGGAAAAGGTGCTGGACTCTGGAGCTGGGGTTACGGACGATTGTGAGCTGCTGGATATCGATGCTGGGTCTTCTGAACTATGAGCAGCAAGTGCTTAACTGCTGAGCCATTTCTCCAGCTACTCCTATTCTTTTTAAGATACTGTTATGCCCAGGGATGTACACTCTGAAACGTCTCTATTTTCTCTACTTGGTATTACTGTATCCATTTTACAAATAGGAAAATTAAGGCTTAGAGAAGGGAAACGTTAGGGAATGAGTCTTAAATCTGAGCTCTTTGCCCACGCATGTCTGTTATGCCCCACTGCCTCCCTTTTGCTTTGCTAATGACAGTCAACCTTCCATGAGCTCCTCCCTTTGCCAAACCCTGGCATTTCACAACTACCCATCAGAACTATTAAGCCTACTTTACAAACAAGGAAATAAAGGCCTAGAAAAGGAAAGAAAGTCACTAGGGATCCCTTAGGCCGTAAGTTAAAGTGTAAGCCATGTGGTCTCGGGTCCCAGGATCCAACAGCAGCATGTATTCCTAGCAATAATTCCAGAAACTTTACCTGAGGCTCTGAGGCTGTAGTTCAGTTACCCAGCATGCACTTGCCATGGGTTCAGTCCCTAGCACTGTCGAAATCGGATGTAGCACACACACCTGCAAATCCCAGAAACTGGAGGTTGGAGGGTCAGAAGTCCAAGGTCAGACTCGGCTCCACAATAAGCTGGAGGCCAGCCTAAGATGCATGAGATCCTAGCTCAGAAGCCGAGGGGAACAGCAGAGGAGATCTCCACCATTGTAGTGTACATCCATCATCCCAGGATTTAGGAATCTGAGAAAGGTCAGGAATTCGAGGACACCCTGAACTACATGACTTCAAAGCCAGTGTGGACTGCAAAGGCGAGATCCTGTAACAAAGAAAAATAATAATAACATTTCATAACCCTTCTTTACTGAGACCACCATTTGCCACGGTTTACACTGGAAGATTCCCCCAAAGGCCCATGTCAGTTGAATCTTGATCCCCAACTGGTTCTGCTTTGGAGGGGTTGTGAAACCTTTGGGGCAGATGGCACAGTGTGTCATACGGGCCTCCAGGTCATATTAGTTACTTTTCTTGTTCCTTGTGGAAAGATACCTGACAAGGAGCAACTGAAGAGAGGAAGGACTTTGTTGGGCACACACTCTGAGGCATGGTGTGGCTCTTGTGGCAGCTAGGAAGCGAGGCAGCCGGTCATCTTGCGCCCACAGACAGGGGGCAGGGTGCAATGGAGCTGGAGTTCAGCTCCTCTTCTTCCTTCTCTCCTCTCTTGTGCCAGGGAGCAGCCCACAGTCAGCGTGGATCTTCGCTCCTCCGCTAATCTTCTCTGGAAACACCTTCACAGACACACCTAGAGGCGTGTCTCCTAAGTGAGTCTAAAACCAGTCCAGCTGGCCTGAGGATGGGCTACCACAGAGGGCTGTGGCCTGGCCTCGGCTTCTAGGCTGTTTCTCTGCCTCCTGACTCACCAAGATATGACTAAACATTTCCACAAGTTCCCATCACTGAACCGCAGCAGACACCATGCCCGCCCCTGACCATGGCCTCCCCAGACACCATGCTCCCCCTACCATGGCCTCCCCAGACACCATGCTCCCCCTACCATGGCCTCCCCAGACACCATGCTCCCCCTACCATGGCCTCCCCAGACACCAGGCCTCCCCCTACCATGGCCTCCCCAGACACCATGCCTGCCCCTGACCATGGCCTCCCCAGACACCATGCTCCCCCTACCATGGCCTCCCCAGACATCAAGCCTCCCCCTACCATGGCCTCCCCAGACACCATGCTCCTCCTACCATGGCCTCCCCAGACACCAGGCCTCCCCCTACCATGGCCTTCCCAGACACCATGCCTCACCCTGACAGGGACAGACCACACCACTTGAAAATGTGAACCAAAAATCTCTCCTTAAAGCTTGTCCCGACAGGGGCTTTGTCACAGTCGTGTGGGATGTAACCAACACACCATGATTACTGCTTTGGTGTTGGTTTCTATACATACGTGTCCACATGTGTGCTTTTAATAAAAATAGGGTCATATTATACTCGCTTTCCACCTATCCCTCTCCATTAGTAATACGTTGGCAACACCTTTCTGTTTGGATTACTTCCTGCAACAGTGACTGCTCTGCTATCTTGGGTCATTTCCCCATTTGTGAGTCCCTAAGAATCTTCCTTCCATCCCCGACAGTTATGCACAGGAGTTCCCTGAGCCATGGGCCCTGGCTGACAGCCCTAACATCACAATACTGTTTTTAATGTCTGCATGATATCCAATCATAGCAGGACGCTGAATAGGTCTCAGGCCAGCCTTAATCAATCCCTTCTGATTGGACTTTTAGATTATTTCCTGGTCTGGTTTTCATGCTATAAACAATGTTGAGTTTACTATTCCTATGGATAAATCTTTGATTTTTGCCCAGTTTATTTCCTTGGGATCAATTCCAAGAGTATGGTCATTTTTAATATTTTGATTATGGTATTTTAATTAATGTATTTCATTATTTTATGTGGTGCTTCCAGAGGTTGGGTCCTCTGAACTGGAGTCCGGATGCTTGTGAGTCACTATGTGGTGCTTGGGGCTAATGTGGATCCTCTGGAAGAACGCTGAGTCCTCTCCTCAGCTCCTGTGTTGTGCCTTTCTTACGCTGACTGGAAACTTTTCTTTCTCTTCTTGCTGTCTTGAAGGTAATACCTTCTCTGACATCTAGGCCCAGGCTGGGACTACGGCTTTTCCTCCTCAACACAAACGCTGAAAGCTAAGTTGGCCAGTCTTATCCTGAGAACTTTGCAACACAGGGTTTGTCTGTGTAGCCTTGGCTGTCCTGGAACTAACTCTGTAGACCAGGCTGGCCTTGAACTCACAGAGAGGTTTCTACCTCTGCCTCTGCCTGCCACATGCTGGGATTAAAGTCATGTGCCTCTACTGCCTGGAACCTCACAACTTTTTGAGAGAGAGAGATCTAAGGATTCATTTATTTTTGTGGCAATTTGGGAGAGCACAGCACGGCACACATGTAGAGGGAGAGACCGCCGGTGAGAGCCAGTTCTCGCCCTCCACCACCATGGTAACAAGTACCCTTACCCATCAAGCCATCACCCCACCCCTAAGACCTTTCTTTGACGACCTTTCTCTGCTAGAAAAGCCATCCCGGGCAGCTTCAAAAAGAAAAAGGCAAAAAAATACTTTTGTTGATGTTCATGTTTAAATTGTAAAATGCTTATGCCCAAAGCCACTGGAAGCTCCCCTTCAGCCGTGGTGATGAAGAAACTCTGCAGTTCAACCTGAGTTCTCCACAGTGAGGTTTGTAAGGAGAAACCTGCACATATTTGTTGACCTGTGCTGCAGGGTCAGGACCCACAGCCTGGAGGAAAAGAGGATGGCACGTGCGTGTTTAACTGCAAAGGGTTTCATTAACTGTGGCAGTGTTAACTACAGCAGGCACTAATGAGGGGAGGGTGACCCGAATACTCCAGAACGGGAACTCCAAATGAACTCAATGAAGTCTTGAAATACAGTCTAATGGTCTTCCCTGCAAGAGATGTAACCTTTGCGGTTTTGTTTGGCTTAGGCAAATACTGCAGGAAGTTCATCCTCCATGAGCCCATGAAGAGGATGTGCAGGACAACCCAGTTTCCTGGTGGGGTTTAAAAGTCATCAAGGAGTTGGATGAGGGTTGCACCCCTAATCCCAGCTCTCAGGAGGTGGCAGTAAAGAGATTTCCGAGTTTGAAGTCAGCCTGGTCTATCCAGTAAGATCTTGTCTTATGCAGTAAGATGTGAGGTGGTTGGAGTGAATGTCCCTATAAGTCTCAGGCACTTAACTATTCAGTCCTCGGTTGCTTTTGGGGAAGATTTAGGAGGTGTGGCCTTGTTGGAGGAGGTGTGTCCCTGGGGGCAGGCTTAAGGTGGCAAAAGCTTCCCGCTCCTCATAGATCTCTGCTTGGCTGTTTCTGAGCCGAGCCTTGCCCGCTGTGCTCCCCCCATGGTGGTGATGAACTCCCGTCTCTTTAGAACTGGAAGCCTCAAATAAACTCTTCCTTCTGTAAGTTGCCTTGGTCGTGCTCACAACAGAAAAGTAACTAAGCTAATGGGATGTATTAGAAAGATATCAAAAATTATTGTCTTCCTACAGAAGAAAGGCGCTGTGTCCGCTCTCTCCACTCCCCCTTTATTTGACACAGGGTTTCTCTATGATGTTCTGGCTCTCGTGAAACTCAAATATATAGACAAGCTGGCTTCACGCTCACAGTGATGCCCCTGCTTCTGCACCTCAAGGGCTGGGATTAAAGGTGTGGCCCACTTCCCAGGTTTGCTCTCTACTGCAGTCGTGCATGCAGAGAAGAGTTTATTATTTTTGTTTAATAAGTAGTGTGTGTATGTCCGTGTGCATGCACAGGCCACAAGCAAACGTCGGGTTTCTTCCTCTTCTCCTTGGTTCTTCAGACAGGGTCTCTCACTGAAGCTGGAGCTCACTAATTTGGCTGAACTGATTGGCCAGCAAGCCCCAGTGATGCTCCTGTCTCCACCTCCCCAGGGCTGGGATTACAGGCACATGCCACCTTACATATGTGAGAAGGGAGGAAGGAAGGAAATTAAGGGAGCTACTGATATTGCTATTTATATTGTATTTATTTATGTAGAATTGAGACCTAGTTATGTGTCCTAGACCAAGAGATCAAGCTCATCCTACCGCAGCCTGCCAAGTGCTGGAATATGGACACTACTGTACCTGGACTTTTCTCCCTTTTCTTCCTTTTAAAGTTGTACACTGGAATTAATAATTTGGTAAATAAGTTAGCATGAGCCATCTGCAGAGGAATGTTGAACATTTGACTAGAGACTGAGGCCTGTGGGCACACACCAGCTTAGTCGTAGCAGCTTGTACATTATAGCAAGTGCTAAGACCTCCTAGGTTTGGGTCCTGGAACCCTGAGAATGGGTGGTAAGGGAATGAAGAAAGGTCAGGTACACAGACCCGGGTACAATAAAGCTGGGGTCGGAGGGTGTGCTACTACTACCCTACCGAACCTCAACGTGCTTATTGTTCACAGCACGGGGAGGGTTAGCTGGTCTCAGTAGAAGATCTCTGCAGGTGAGCAGTTCAGGCTCTCCCCATCTATGAGGAGGAAGCTGCTGTTCCTAGTCTTTGCACACGCTGGCCACTCCCTCCCACTTGGACTCCCGGGAAAGCTTGGCCATCTCTCTTGAGCTTCACCTGGATAAAGCTTTTCCACTCCCATGGAACTGAGGCACCGGTGTGCTCAACACGGCCATGCCTGTGTCAGCAATACACACTCACTGGGGCCCCGCTCTGTTCCCTACACACAAGCCTCTGTGAGGAGGTATCATCAGCTCATGTTACAGACTCATGAGCCTAGACGCAGAGTTAGCCATGACTATCCTGCCTTTCTGGATATCTGCTTCAGAGAGACTCCTCCCTCAGTGGATATTGCCACAATGAAAGTGACCACTAAGGCACCCCGTTCAGAGGGTGGGAAGGAGGGAGTGGCAGAAGCTCAGCTCAGCTCAGGAGTCTGAGCTCCCTCAGCTCAGGCTACAGCTGCTGTTTCATGTGATTCATGGATGTTGAGCAGAAATAAAAGGAGGGGACTCCTTCTCACAGCCAGCAAGTGATTTTCTGTGAACCCGGGGTGTCTTGTGTCAATCCCACACTGCTTCTCTACGACCAGGAATAAGAGGTCAAGTTCAGGCAGCCTCCCTCCCTGACATCTTCCTTGTCTGTGTCTCTCTGCCCATGGAGTGTGCCAAGTCATTCCTGTGATCACGGAACAGCACCTGCACTCTGGACCGCAACGATCCCAGGTGACCTCTGTAATGCTCACTCCCAGACTTACAGATTGTAGGGGACACAGTTTACAGCCACTCACGACTTCTCTGTAAAGAAAAAAACAATAAGTCAGGCCATCGGGAAAGTGCTTGCCCCACAAGCGTGAGGTCTTGGGGCTGGATCCCCACTATTCAAACTTAATAAAGGCCATGGAGGTGGCTCAGATCTGTAACTCCAACACCGAGGAGACAGAGGTCAGTCTCTGAGGTGCACTGGCCAGCTAGCCTCACTGAATCAATGAGCCCTGGGGTCAGTGAGAGACCCCGTCTCAACTAAACCAGGTTAAGAACCAGTGAAGCAGCGCACCAGGCATGCATCTGCCGTCCAAACATGATGACTTGAGCTGAAAATCCTTCCAGGGTGGAAGGGAAGAACGATTCCCAGAAGTTGCCCTCTGACCTTTAAACACAGGATGTAGCATGTGCACACCCACGTTCACTCACATACACACATATGTACACGCATATACAGAATAATAAATAAAATAATAATGGGAACTAAGGTGGAGAGTGAGGAAAACACCACCATCTATCTGTGCTTGTCGCCTACACAGGCACAGGTGTGTGCACACACATATACCCGCACAGACACACAGAGAAGAATGGAGCGACCCTGAAGGGGAGCATGGCCCAATCTAAGCCCCTGCCTTTAAAACCCCGCTCTAAAGTCAACACCTCAGTCACTGCTCTTTAGTAAGGCTTTTATGGGTCTGCGTGCCATGTATGCTGGGCCCATGGTGACTACAGAAAGTGCCAAATCCCCTAGAATTAATTTTACAGCTCAAACTATGCTGTGAATCCTGGGACTCGAACCCAGGACCTCTGGAAGAACACCCAGTGCCCTTAACTGCTGAGCCATCTCTCCAGCCCCTGCCACCATTGTTATTACAAGCCTGGTACCTAACATCAGTCTCTGAGAGTACCACATACTACTCTAATCTAGAATGTGTTACATTCGGAAACAGGGTAGATTACAAGAAAAGTTTGCCAGAGCCTCCAGAGTACCAAGAAGACCAGAGGATCCCTGACCTTTCCCAGCTACAAAATGGGCCTCGAAGGAAGAGAGGCAATCTCACATCACTGCATGGGACCATAGTTAAAGTTCCCGACACACTGTAAGAGCAAACCCTTCCAGCACTTCCGTTCCTAAACAATATGGGACAGTTAGAAGCATCTGACTGTTTTTAAAGATCTCCGACGAAGGGGACCATAGCATCCCTGGGTAGCTGGTGCCTGAGTTTAAGAGCCCACTTAGATGATGTGTGAATATAGCAGAGGCTGACAAGGCTGGGAGGCATGCCAAGCAGCCTGTTGGACTGCCTCCATCCTGTGCCTTCCTCCGCCATATATATATATATATATATATATATATATATATATATATATATACATACATACATACACACACACACACACACACACGCTTATCCATCCTTCTCCAGCTTGGTACCATAACTGCTGAGTTAATTCATTAGTTAGTTCAAGACCTACATACAAAATGCTTTCTGTATCACCAGTATCCTAGATACAGGGCATATGACAGCTACAAAACACACAGGTCCCTCTCCCCACAAGACTCACACCCTTGCAAGAGAGGTGGGGTGTTGTAGGAGATTGTTTGTTCATTTCCCAGACGCCAAGGCCTGAATAATCATGCAGAAACTATATTAATTACAACACTGTTTGACCAATGACTCTAGTGTATTCTTAGCTAGCTCTTACATCTTAAATTAACCCATTTCTATCGATCTGTGTATCGTCATGAGGCTGTGGCCTACCAGTAAGGTTCCTAAGGTTCTGACGTGTCCTTTGGCAGCTACATGGCATTTCCCTAACTCTGCCCACTCTCTCTCTTTATCTCTGTTCAGATTTCCCACCTGACTTCCCTCTGCCAAGCCATTGGCCAAAACAGCTTTATTCATCAACCAATAAAGCAACACACATAAGAAGGACATCCCACATCAGTGGGGACAGAAAATAAATACATATGTCAGAAGATGAAGAGGTTGGAGAGGAGCTGGAGAGATAGCTTAAGGCAAAGAACAGAGTTCAGTTCTCAGCCCCACGTCAGGCAGCTCACAACCAACTGTAACTCCAGCTCCAGGGGATCCGGCACCTCTGACCTGTGTGGACAATCTCATTCATGTGCACATACACCAAGAGACACACAGACAGCTAAAAACAATGTTGTAGTGCTGTTTATGAGAGTGGAGGAGACTGTTCCGTACATGAGGAAGGAACATTCCAGAGACTGGATGGACTGAAGGGACATTTGTGTGTGTTTCACTCCTCTGAACAACCTCAAGGTACTTGGGGCCAAGAGCAGGCGAGAGATGTACTTTGGGCTCAAGATAACCTGGCTTAAAGCCCTGCTTGCCACACTTTCGCTGTGCAACAAGTGCCCAACTTCTCGGGGTTTCAATGTCTTCCTCAGGAAAATGAAGTTAAGACACTATTAACTTCACAGTGCTGTGAGGGAGACTTGATGGCATGCAGTATTGGGCATCAAAAAAGGTCCTCCCTGAAGTCAAGGACATTCTAGGAACCATTCATCACTCCTATTCCTCCATGGGGAGAAGAGGACCAAAGAGACAGAGACACAGGTACACTAGCCATTCCCAAGGCTCTCACGGCATCTCTGGTGATGAGCTTACAGTCATGTCTTCTTGCAAAGTACACCAAGAGTAATCAGCTAAGCTACTGTCCTTTGCACAATGGCTTTCCTTCAGTCATCCATTTCCTCCTGCCAAATGTCACTGGAAAGGACACAGGCCTTTCCTTCATGACTCTGTAATCTCCTTAAAGTATGTCTTCCCATACTCTTTAAGCCTCAGGCCTCACAAAACTCAAGAATTAGTCTCCATCCTGGCACAAGACTGCAGCCAAAATGGTGCTCATGCCTGGCAGTTTTGTCTGCATCTAGGTCTGGCAGAGGGTGGGTGCCCAGGAATTCCGTTATGAATGAAGCGATGCTAGAGCTCACTAGCTTCAGAAGACAGGAGGCCATGAAAGGTCAAACACCCCTTTCAGATTATTGGAGGACTGTTAGGAAAACCGAGAAATTCCTGGAGTCTAACCCTCATTAAGAAAAAGGCAGAGTGAGCAATTATCAGGAAGCCCAGACCCACCCTTTGGGAGGGAGGTCATGGCCACTATTCACCATCTGAAGACTCTTTTGGTTGTTTGTAAAGTCTGAATGTAGACCTGGTTGGTGTAGAACTTACTATAAAGACCAGGCTGGCCTTGAACTCGGAGATCTGCCTGCCTCTGCCTCCTGAATGCTAAGAGTAAAGATGTGCACCACCACACCAGATGAGAATCCAGTTGATTCATTGATTGAATGTGTTCTATGTGTGTATGTTTGGAGGGGAGTGAACCCTACATGCATGCATGTGTGTCCACCAAAGGTTAGCCTTGGGTATTGTTCCTTGGGTGCCACTACCTTATTTTTGAGGCAGGGTCTCTTCACTGGCCTGGTACCTGCCAATTAGGCTAGAGAGACTGACCAGTGCGTTCCAACACTGGGTTTATAAACTGACATCATCATGACCACCTTCTTCACCTGACCTCTGGCATCAGGCCCAGGTCCTTGTACTCTCATGGCAAATACCACTGGCCGAGCCCTCTTTCCAACTCTCCATCGGAGGGTCATGCTGGTAGTTCATTGTAGCCCCGGGTGTGCAGAAAAGAGCATAGTGGATCAGGATAGCATACCTCAGATAGGATTACCCAACTCTAAGGCCTCCTGCTCAGATCTGGGTCTTCCTGGGTCAACAGGAAAGCCAGCCTCAGAATCTGGTGATTCTCACATTTAAACTGAAAAGCTCTTAAATCCACATCCATTGTGGGAAAGAGTTTCCTCCCTGTGGAAGAGACAAGCAACTTTTGTCTTCAGGAAAAACCTTCTCCCATCTGAAGGCAGTTCAGAAGTCAGCCTCAAACTTTTACTTCCCAGTCCTTCCGTGGCTCCTAACACCTCAGAGCGGAGCATGACTCACTGATCTCCCCGGTTCTGACAGCTAGTTGCCACACATGCTCCGAGCCCCAGAGGCTGCCCCACTTCTTTCTAACCCTTCTCCTGAAAGCCTCCCTCTCTTCTCACTTTTCCCCAGGAGAGTTCTAGAAAAATTCTCAAGCACATCAGTCAATTGGCAAGGTCACACCTCGTCCCTGCACTCCGGGCCTGCTAGTCTCCGAAAAGGATGTGGTTTAGCATCTTCATGTGTGTCATGTATTCCTTTCTTAAAATTAGTTTTGTTTTAGAAATGGAATCACGTGTATTCCAAATCACTCCCAAATTTGCTATTTCTGACACCTCCCGCCTCCATGACCCCAGTGCTAAGATTTCGGGCATGCACCAATGATGTGGGAGTGTCATATATCAATCTGTTGATTTCATTGGTTAAGTAATAAAGAAACTGCTTGCCCTGATAAAAACATAGGTGGGAGGAGTAAACAGAACAGAATGCTGGGAGGAAGAGGAAGTGAGCTCAGACTCGACAGCTCTTCTCTCGGGGGCAGACGCCTCAGAGAGATGCCATGCTCCCATCTCCAGGGCGGACGCGAGAGCTCTGCTCTCTGAGGCAGAGGCGATTCAGCTCCGACCCAGGATGGATGTAGACTAGAATCTTCCCGGTAAGCGCACCTTGGGGTGCAACACAGATAATTAGAGATGGGCTAAATTAATATGTGAGAATTAGCCTAGAAGAGGCTAGATAGAAATGGGCCAAGCAGTATTTAAAAGAATACAATGTCTGTGTAATTATTTCGGGGCATAAGCTAGAGCTAGCCATGTGGGCTGCCGGGGTGCCGGGAACGTAGCCCTGCCGCTCCTATTACTACACACCAACACACCTGGTCTTGTGTGATGCTAGAGATTAAAGCCAAGGCCTTGAGCATGCTAGGCAAGCACTTCACTAGCTGAGCTACGTCTCCCCAGTATCTTTCCTAAACATAAAAATCTTTGTCCATACCTGAGTTCCAGTTTACAGTTGACAGCTCATTGAAGGAACACTCACTCACTCACTCGGAGAGAACAAACCCTGAGCCCTGGACCCCTCAGGTAGTGGTCTTAGACCTTCCTGCCCACCCCAACACATAAGTCATCCCTGGAATCGCAGGAAGGTCACATCGTCTTTCTAAGAGATAACTTCGGTTGACTTTTAGATTCGTGTCCTGATAGACTGACCCTCCAGCCTCAGAATGTTAGCACACACAGCTCTCTAAAGAGTGACAAGGTCTGGGAAGGGGGCTCCCTTCCAGAAGTACCTTTTCTCTAACTTTCCGCAGCAGTCTTGACGGTGTCTTAATTGAGGCCATTTGTCAAATGCATAATTAAATGTGATTAAAATATGTATCTTTGTGTGTACTTTTAAAATATCCTTTGTCTGGCCATGTGACCTGATTGGGATTCAGGGGACAGATCCTCTATCAAGAGAGTACTTTGTCTTCATGTCTGGCAGACTTTGCTGATGAATTCAGTAAACAGGTTAGCATGGAGAATAGGAAGACATTTTTTGTGCTATACAGATGCAAGCATTTCCCCCATCATCATTAGCAATGATAATTGAATGGGGGGGGGGCTTTCCAAATGTCAGTTTAATAATGTCTTGCCTGTGGCCAAGGATTTCCTCTGCTCTTACAACCAAGGAAAGAGCCTGACTGTGCTCACTCAGACTCTTCAAGGCCTGGTTCCTGCCCACTTCTCACGGCTTCCTCTCATGTCTGTGCTCCAATACCAGTCTTCTCTCAGCTTAGCAGGTTCAACACTCCCTTCTAGCCTCTTTGGTCTGTATGCCAGCTAGTTTCATGCATGAGTTAGAGTCACTTTGGAAGAAGGAGCCTCAATTGAGAAAACACCCCTGCCAGATTGGCATGCGGGCAAACCTATGATGCATTTTCCTGACTTAGCTCACTGTGGGTGGTGCCACTCCTGAGCTGATGGTCCTGGGTGCTATAAGAAGGCAGGTTGTGTAGTCAGAGGCTGTTCTTTCATTTCCTGTCTTCCCAGACCTGAAATAATCACACAGAAATTATATTAATTCCCACACTGTTTGGCCAATAGCTTAAGCATATCTTTAACTAGCTCTTACATATTAAATTAACCCATTCCTATTATTTTATATTTCACCATGAGGCTCGTGGTTTACCGGCAAGGTTCCAGCATGACTGTCTGCTGCGGCAGTTACATGGCATCTCATCCATGCAGCCTACTCTCTCTCCTCTGTCAGTATGGAATTCCTACCTTGCCCTATTCTGTGCTGCAATAGGCCCAAAGCTTCTTCTTTATTAACCAATGGTTTTCACAGCATACAGAGGGGCATGCCACACCACCCCTTTTCTGTCTAAATAAAAGGAAGGTTTTAACTTTAACACAGTAAAATTACATATAAAGAAACAGATAGCAAGCAAGAATCACAGTTACAATACTTATATCTACTTTATCTTTTATCATAACTAAGGAAAACTATAATTATATCTTTTCTTTAACTCCATCAAAGACTCCATAAGGATATAATTTACCTAAGTAAACAGGAAGTGCCTTGTAAACAACTTCCAAAACTCTAGAATTGACAGAGACATCTTGCTGCCTGAACAGTCACCTAAAGTTCTTCTGTAACATTAGGGCACCCATCTTCAGCCTACAGGCCCACAGTATCCAGCAGACTTTTCCATGAAGCAGGAAATTTCAAAGACAGTTCCACCTATATTGGCAGTCTGTCAGTCACTTTCTTCTGTGTCCTGCAGAATGTCTGGCAGACTCTTTCATGAAGCAGGAACCCTGAAGGAATGTCTCACCTCTTTAAGCAACTACAGTCATTTTTCTGTGGGTCCTGCATGTTCAGTTCATACAGCATAACATCAAGCAGTCCAGACAAAAGCAGTTTTTTGCCCAAATGGCTAACAAGCTCTATAAGGAGCCTCTTCAATAACTTCCTTTGAAGTTATTGGTGCTGCCAGAAACAGATGTGTCTTACTGTCATGAAAAGTCCTAAGTTTTTAAAACATTTTAAATGTCATATTCTGTAGGTCTTTGAAGTGTTTGAAGATTATCTATCTAACTGAAATATATATCTATATATCTAGAAAACCTAACATGACTACAAGCTTAACTACTATAGATGACTATCTATTAACCTCTATTTCTTAATTATATATTATATTTTTAAATGGACTGCACAAGCACAATACCTTAATCAAGAGCAGAAATATACATATAACAAAATTGATCTTAAATTTGTATTAATAAACCAAGATCCATACCAATGCAAAGTATTCATCTCTGTAGTGTATTCCCCTTTAAATTTATAAACAATATTTGGGAATTTGGTCATAGTTCTCTCCAAATTGCTTCCTGCTTCTTGTTGGGCAAAGTATTTGGGAGTTCACAGAGACCTTTCAGGGCATCTTGTTCCATCAGACCACATTAGTTTGGAGGAATTCACAGGTTCTCATCCTTTGTGGAAACAAAAGCAGAACTTCTTTTCCAAAGCAACATATCCTTAGACCCAAATTTTGAAGTCAAGATACCTTTAGAGTATATATCTTGGTTTAGCTTGGCAGCTCATACAATGAAATGTTTCTCTGTACTTAGCTCATCCACAGTCAAAATATTCAAAGAAAACACAATAATATACATAATCCAGACTCTCTGTGTATTTTCCATGTATGTGGCTTATTTTTCTTTACTCCTTTAATCTATGACTGTCTGAATTTTTTCTCTTTAAAGACTTTGTTTTATTTTTTAAAACCATTTACACACACACACATATAATAACTATTTCTTCTCTTTCCTAAGCCTATGTACTTTATCCAACACTGTGACCTATTTAGAGGTCTTTTTCATTTGAATATGTCTTTATTATGCATCTGTAATCCTTTTCTGTCCAGGACCACTTCTTAAAATGTTAAGCAGTGTGGCTAGGACTCAGGCTGCTTTGCCTTTTGGCTCCACCCAGTCCAATGTGGCGGAGGTCTGTTCAGAGCGAGCCATGCTCACAGCCCCATTTCCAGGCACACAGCGGGTCTATGTTGCCATTAAGCAAGTTATAGCAGTCTGTTTATAAACCCCATTTAAATGCTTGGTCTCCTGAAAGAGCCAGAGCTGTTTGTGCAACCAGCCGTGGCACCCCTGCTTGCCGCCACTGTATCATCAGTTTCTGCCTCTAGGTTCCTGTGATAGTTTAAATGTAACTGACCCCATAAACTCATAGAGAGTGACATTATTAGGAGGTGTGGCTCGTCTTGTTGGAGGAAGTGTGTCACTGTGGGGTGGGCTCTGAGGTCTCTTGCTCCAGCTTCACTCAGTGTCCCAGTCCACTTCCTGTTGCCTTCTCATCAAGGTGTTGTCAGCACCATGTCTGCCTGCACACCGCATGCTCCCTGCCATGATGAATGTCTGAACCTCTGAATCTGTAAGTTTCCACTTCAATTAAATGTTTCCTTAATAAGAGTTGCCATGGGAATGGTGTCTCTTCACAGCAATGGAAACCCTAAGACAGTTCCTGTCATGAGTTTCCTGCATTCCTTCCTTGACTTTCCTTGCTGATAGACTATACCCTGTAAGAGGAAATAAACTCTTGCCTCCCCAAGTTGCTCTTGGCTTTGGTACCTGAACCACAGTCATAAGCCCCTAATTAGGGCAGTCTGGAACACCTGCCCCCGCATCGTAAGCTTGAGAACTTTTCCCCGACCTTTTTATCCTTATATGTTCTCATAAAATCATGAAAAGTTATCCTTCATTAATTCATATGTACCGAACCCTACTATGTGCCAACGGGATTCCATCATCAA